TACCGTGTACCGTGTAGTGGCGGTGTAAGAATATCCACTACCCCATATCATCCCGTGGGTGTCGTGAGAGGCGACAGAGGGAATAACGAATAAAAGTAAAAAAGTGCGGTTGCTAACTCGATATGAGGCAATCTAAGAGTGAGCCCTATGTTCAGCAGTGGACTTTAATAGGCTGTTATAGTAACGGTAAGCAATAATACTGGAAAATCGGGTAGATTACACAAAAGAAAAAATACAAAATTCTATTCTACTTCATCAGTTAGTAAGACTGCACTTGGCAGGCGCATTGACGATCCCAGTAGCTGACGTGAGCATCTCTGTCTCTGCTACCAGCAGTAGTAACATACCAAAAGGGAGGGGGAGCGCATCGGGTCGGGCGGCACATTTTAGGGAACGGCATTTTGGGAATGAAAGTTTTTCAAGTGAAGTCAGTTAAATTAGCTGTTAATAGGTGAGGGACAGTGACAGTAATATAAAATAGTATGTTTATTCATTTCATACATAGATTTATAAAACAATATTGAGACCTAGTAAGTAAATAAGTACTTGTAGCGGAAGGTCTCGCTCTTCCACTAGAATTTCGTTTTGCTAAATCATGTGTGATTTATTCCTGTGTAAAAAAGTGAGGTTATGATCTTACAAAAACGAATATTACTCATAAACTGTACATTTCCGCAAAGGGGGAAGGGTAGGGCTTCCCAGGAACTCCGAGTTTACTTGTCACTTCAGTTTTATAAAAATAAAAAATAAATGACCGTACGTGAACGACCTGGATTAACATAGTATTTACGTGGCTCTACCACGTAAATAATATATGTTATTAATATAATTATCGGAACCCTAATACTTTGTGGTACTATAATGTAAAGAACGCGTCCAAGCCATCGAGCCTCAAGCATCGTGTAAAACATAATATAAACATATTATTCTATAAGCGAAAACACTATTTTTTTAAAATGGTGTGAGACTGGTAATAGAGATTTAACACAGCAAAAATATTCCTATCTATATTGAAACAACCCAAAGGGTAACCAACGGGACTATTACTAAGCCTCCGCTGTCCGTCCGTCTGTCTGTCAGCGGGCTGTATCTCATGATCCGTAATAGGTAGACAGGTGAAATTTTCATAAAATGTGTATTTCTGTTGCCGCTATAACAACACATAATAAAAATAAAAATAAATTAAAGGGGGGCTCCCCTACTAGAAACGTGTTTTACGATGGTACGGAACCCTGCATGAGCGTGTACGACAGGCACTTGGCCAGCTATTAAAATTCTTTGCATGTCTATTGTTGAACATACAGACAGACAGACTTCCTTCAAGGAACGCCACCAAGCACGCTCCTGAGCCATCTCCATTAACTTCTTGCATGTCTTAACAGGTCGTCACTTCATCTTTTGAAACCTACTAAGTATGTTTTTTTACATCTACTATATTTAATAGGCCACGAAAATACTTCTACCGGAATCTTTAGCGAGATATTGAATGTATAATATTAACACACAATCCTAAGTCCGCAAAATGTGAAGGGAAGTTATCAATAAGATTTAATTTTAGGTATTTAAAAATGTAAAAAATATACTAATACGCAATGTAACTAATAGTCAAATAAGTTAAAGTCGAGAACATTCCCAATAAACCTCAATGTTATCCAAATTCGCTAGATACGAAAACATCAATATTCTAAAGACGTTATTTACGTGGTGGAGCCATGTTGCAGCTAGTATGATTGTAGCACGAATGGGTCGGCTCGACCGGAGAAGGACCACGCTCTCACAGAATACCAGCGTAAAATAGTAGCTTGACGCTGCTGTGTTTCGTATGGTGACTGTAGAGAACCGGAGACCCTTTTTGCTGGAATTGAGGCATTCCATCTTAGTCCTCACGGGTGACAACGCATCTGCGTCTTGAGTCTTTATTGAGAATAGATGTAGATATCTATGGGTCACAGTAACCACTTACCATCAGGTGGACTGTGTGCTCGTTTGTCACCCTATCCTATAAAAAAAAACCTTCTTTGGAATAAGTACCTGATATGGGCATGTACTTTTAAGACCTCAGTCTAAGATTTAGTATATTATGCATTCTTTGTATAATCTCACCTCTGCTTGGAATCCAGTAATAATTTGTTTTTAGCGAGTAATGAACTAAAATTAAATAACTTTTATGTTAATATCGAGCGATACTTTCGGTAAGAAAAAATAATTATAAAATCTTTGAAAGAAAAAAAGTACCGAAACAAAAATCTTTGCCTCAAAATAAAGTAATAAGCGAATAAAAATAATACATACACAGTAAAAACGAGTATAGATGAAGTGACGACCCTGGTAAGACATACAGGTGGCTCAGGACCGTGCTTTGTGGCATTTCTTGGGGGAGGCCTATGTTCAGCAGTGGACTTGTGACGGGCTGTAATGATGATGATGATGAAAAACGAGTTAATGTTCAGTTGTAACACATTCTGAGTCATGTAGTGACGTTGTAAGATAATCACCACATTTCGTTCCGTATGTAAGTAGTAAGAGGCGATTTTTTAGCGAATCGATTGCCTCGAGGTCGTAACCGCGACTGCTGGTCATGAATCCTGGCTTCGAATCCCGAGTCGGGCCAAAAAATCGCGTTAGCGCGCTCGCGTGTAAACTGATAATACTTACAAAGTACAGCGTTGAATGACCAACCTTTTTCTTTTCTCGAAGGCTGCCGAATAGCGCAACCATATCATCAGCATAAAAAGTTTGGATTGCGTTTTTTATTTAACCAAGTTGAGCCAAAAATGAAGCTTACAACAGGCTTTATCACTAACTGACTAAAAGCAGTCATGTGGGCGACAGTCAACTATTTCAAGGGTCGAAGAGTTTTCAATTTTTAAGAGAGAATTGGCAAAACTGCCAAGGAAACTATTTATCATTAAAGATAGTTCGTGGAAAAACGTTTTGTCACCGTTTTCTATATTTTCGACAAAAAGTTGCTACGAATGGAGCACATTTTTTTACATCTACGATGGTTTCCAGTACAACGGTTCTCTGATCAAACAAATAAATAGGGTTATTTTTCAGAGTATCCAGTTTTTGAAAATACGAGTAAATAAGGCTTCTACTTTTATTTGAAATTAACCCAAATTTAATGTGATTTATGGGCAATAACCACACGTACGCACGCTGCTCTGTGTGCGATTCAATTCACATTTTTGTCGACCGAGCGACCCTTACGAATGTGTGCGTGCGTAGTAAAATAGTAGGCGTTAGATATTTATGAATGACAATCAATTAAAATAATGCATTTCCACGCATTCTGATATTAAAAGCTAAAGCAGATTAGTTAACTTCAAAAATTAAAAAGAAGAAAATAATTTCACATTCTGAAGTCCGTGTTAAGCTTCAGAATGTGAAATGTTAAATTATTCTATTCTAAGAAATAAACACGTTACAGAGTACAAATGAGTTTCATCATCATCATCATTACAGCCCTTCACAAGTCCACTGCTGAACATAGGCCTCCCGCCTCCCCCAAAGAATGCCACAAAGCACAAATGAGTTTAATTTTATTTATAGAAGAGGGGGCAAACGAACGTGCGTCTCACCTGATGGTAATTGTCGACCGCCGCCCATGAACAACAGCAACACCAAGGGAATTACAGGTGTTACGCTGGTTTTTGAGGGTCCCTGAGTCGTATAGGTCCGGAAAAATCGCCGATGGTAAACGACTCCACAAAAAAGTCATGAGAAGAAGAAATCTCGCACAATGGTGGACCGCCAAGCATACAAATGGTGTGGACGGTATTGTGAGTTATGTCGCGTTTTGCGTTAATGAAATTTGGCGGCTATAATTGATCCAAACAATTCCTCAGAATTTAGTCGTTATCGTGCGTATCGTTACATCTGTGGGAAATATCAGAAACATTCGATGGTCTTCGATAGGTGGCGGTGTAATCATTTTTGACTGCCTCGTCACTCTAGTGGTTGTACGTACGACTGCTGATCATGAGGTCCGGGGTCGGGCCGAAGTCGGTTATTGGGTTGTCCTGTAATTCTAAACAGCCGCCCGTGCCTCAAAAAGCTCGTAAAGCCGCTCTCCGTGCTCTCTGGTCGTGTCGGATTGCCGTCACATCGAATTATGTGATTAGAATAGAGCGTGCGCACACACTCGTGCACTTTTATCGGTGTAGATTTCTCCGTTGAGACAGGCTGTCGTGACAGAAATTCAGTCTGAAAGATATTATTATTATTATTGTAAGCTAGCAGCACCCAAGCCTGCGACGGGGATAAAAAAAGGTGCAAGACGGTCACTAGGTATGCAGTTGCTAATCCTGCATACCTAGTTAAGCCTGTTGGCATATCCATAACACCGTTACTGCTTATTAGTCCACTGCTGAACATAACCCTCCCCCATAGATTGCCTCTTAGGGGGATATTTGTCATAGTTGCCACGGCAGGCGGTGCGGCAACCACAGTTTATTTTTTATTTTTAATCGTTTTTAGGAAGACGCTGCTGCCGTCCTGATTTGTTACCCTCAGTTGCCTTCTACGACACCCATAATAGCGACTTATTTTTACTACTGCACGATATGAAGGAAAGGCGTTTATTAAGCTTGCAGCACAGAATATAAAAAGTAATAATAGGCAAAAAGATAAAAGGAAGTATTCACCAACATCATAAATTTAGAAAATACGCTTAAAAAAACCGAATTTGCAGCATGCAGAAACTGCGAAATGGACCATTCTCGGTGATAACACTGATTTTCAGCCAACCCATCCAGATCTGAATCCATATGCATCCCGGCAGATCCCAGATGCCTACCAGCGGTGGTATATTTGTGGGTTTTCGTTACTGAGAAAAATTACATACCTTTACAGATATTTTTCTAGAGGATTGAAAGGGATTAGGGAGGATTTTTGATAATTGAATGTTTTAACCATTCCGTCCATACACTCTAATCTTACTATGATTTATAAATGTAAACAAGAATAATATAATGATTTATATTTCTCTTTTGTTACAGTACCGATGAAGATGCGCGTCAAGCTATGATGCTGGACGGTGGCAAAATCAAAGAGATTCAAGTCAAGTTACTTTTGAGCTCGCGCTCTGAAATGCACAAAGTGATTGAAACCGCTCGGCAAAGTGTCCCCATATTAACACTCACAGCTCAAGCTACGGTACCAGCGCCGGTGTCTACAACGACGCCCGCGCAAATAAAAATGCCAACCCCTCCCCAACCGCCCGTAAGCGCTCATCCAGTAATCACTCCATTCTCCGCCGCGCTAGGAACAGTTCCTTTATCCAGCTTTGGAATTCCAGGAATAGGGAACCCACATGAAATTCCCCAACCGGCAGTAATAGAACCACCGGCGCCCATGATCAGCCCGACGGGTAACACTCAAAATGGTGACGAAGATAAAGACGATGACAGAAGCGAAAGGAAACTGAGTAAAGAGAAAGACCGGCGACGCACAAGATCTCGATCGAGGTCGCGCGATCGAGACCGAAAGGACCGCAAAAGAGACCGGCGAGATCGGTCACGATCGAAGGATAGACGCCGGCGGGATCGAAGCCGCAGTAGAGAGAGGCGCGATCGAAAACGTGACAGAAAGGACCGCAGTCGCTCTCGCGAAAGATCACCAGCGCGACGCTCCCGCGATAGGCGGAACGAACGTAGATCGCCACGAGAATCGCAAGAGAAGTCAGTTGATCCGCCAGTAGGCCTACCTTACGGAAACTTGATGAATACAAACCAAGGACCACAAATGCCAATGATGCAACCTAACCCGATGATTCCAAACGGCCCCAGCGACAAAGTGAACTCCTCTCCGAATCGGTTTAGCGATCCGACAATGGCGGAAGCATTTAATAAGTTACAGGAATTGGGGAAGAAGAGGAACCCGAACGCTTTTCAAGGTGATCAGTCGAATGGAGCACCGAGATTTCCAGCAAGGGGCGGAGCAAATGTCGCTCGCGGTGGTTATAGACGCGAAGGACGCGTATCCAGATTTGACGACCAACGCGACCAGCAAGACTGCTGTGTTGCCATCAGGAACGCCCCTAACCACACCAGCTATGGAGATGTACGGAGATTTTTCCCCTTCATGATCGATAAACACGGCATTAAAATGATAAACGACAATATGGGCCGTCGCACTGGAAATATATACGTCAAATTTTGCGACCCTCGCTCCAAGCAACTCGCGTTACAGCGAAAGAGTAACGAGTTGAAGGGGTCTGTAGTTGCCGTCGAAGATCTGGATGATGAGACATACGAAAACGCCGTCGACTCTTTCCTTCCTTACCGCGAGGAGAATGACGATGAAGACGTGTCCCTCGTCATTGCAGATCATGAAGAGCCTGCCCGACCGCCCTTCAGTGTGCTCAAACTCGCCGACCTACCCAACTTCGTCAAAGAGCACGACATAATAAAGGCATTTGGTGACTTTTCTCTTATGTCGATAATACTCAACGATTGTCGTTTATCGCGTACAAAAATTGCATTAGTTCAGTTCGCTAAACCAGAGGACGCGAGATTGGCTTTCGAACGGAAGGATTTATACGTTTTTGGTCGACGCCAACCCACCGTAACAGTGGTGTCTGATGAGGAATATGAGAACGAAAAGACGTCGCAGGGCGATAAACCTTCGGAATCGCCAAGAACTGAAGTGTCCGAGGAACCGATTGTGCCCCGCGATCCTCGTCAACGTCGGCAACAAGCGGAAAACGGGCCTCGAGCACAAACCGGACTGCCAATGCAGGCTCCCACACCGACCGCACCATTTTTCCCCAACGCACCCTTCGTTCCGCAGCAAAACTTTGGTGCACCGTTCCCCCCTACCCCCCAGTTCGGCGGCTTTCCCGGAACGGGGGGTATGGATCCGCGCACCGCCGCCACCAACTGGGCTAACCGATTCCCAAATCCAGCAGATCAGATGCCATCATTGACTTCCAGTCCGCACGTTATTTCCACCGAAATGGAGGACCACCCGTTGGACTGCGTATTGATGAAGGGGTTGCCCCGCGAAGCAACAGACCGCACGATAGTTACATTCCTGTCGGATACCGGCGCCGTTCCCGCGAGAATACACTTAATGTTGGACACCAACGGTTTACCATCCGGTGACTGTTTCTGTGAGTTTCGTTCAGTCCAAGAGGCGAGACAGGCGGCCTCAAAGCACGGTCACAATTTGGACGGATGCCGGGTGACAGTCGACTTAGTGTCGCAGAAAGTGGTCAAAGAGGCGTTGGTTGAGCCGAAACAACCCGAGGGAATGATGGGCAAAGGTCCGTCGCAGTACTTCGAGCATCCACGTGGAAATTACTCTTCGCGTCCGTTTAGAGGACGCGGTAGTTTCGACAGAGGTGGATACGAGCGGGCCGGTCATCGTGGGAGCTTCCGTGGCCGCGGAAACTGGAACGAACGTGGAGGCCGGGGCTCCGACAGATCGCGGGGCTTCGAACGGGGTCGCTCGCGGGGCTTCGGTAGAGGACGCGGTGGATTCTCAGAGAACGGCAGAAACGAGACGCGGAACGAAGAGGAGAACGACCCCGCGTTGGAAGGCTTTGGAGCCCCCGGATGCGTGGTGTCCTTGGAGAATGTGCCTTTCAGGGCTACCGTAGACGATATACTAACGTTCTTCTCAGAATTCGAACTGACTCAAGACGATATCATCCGGCGGTACAACGAACGCGGGCAGCCCACTGGAGACGCTCGAGTCGCGTTCCGAACCCCGTTCGACGCTCAACGAGCGGTCAAAACCCGTCACATGGACTCCATTTACGATAGGAGAATCTCCTTAAGCATTCTATAGTACGAGCGTTCTGATAGTTCCGACTCGGATTCGTGACGGAATTACATTCGTGTACATAATGTGTGTGTGGTGAACATTTCCCACCGTATCGGGAACGCGGATGTGGCAACACCGATTGCTTTCATCGGCTCATAGGCTACTTGTTGTAGTCGGTAAATTTATTAAGATGGAATATATTGTAATTTTATATTAGGGAGTTGAAATAAAACTAGATATTTCGTTACGTAATTAAATTCGTGGTTTTATTACATTTCCAATTTAAATACATTTCAATAACGTATGCCGCTCGGTTGCTAAATGCGTTTCAATACCGCATATATAGGTTAACTGAATCTGTTCATTACGTGACGAACTTATCATAATTCTTAATGTCACGCTACACTTCTTTTATAGATTAAGGTTGACGAACGAGCACACAGTCCACCAGATGTTAAGTGGATGCTGTGGCCCATAGACATCTACATTTATCCTCGATTAAGAATCAAAATAGAATGCCTTTCTATTTTATCACCCCTGAGGACTACGATGGAATGCCTAGTTTCCAGTAAAAACGGTCTCCAGTTCCCATACGAATCACAGCAGCACTGAGCTGCTATTTTACGCTGCATTCTGTGAGATCATGGTTCTCAAACACCCTGCGACATACAAAACAATTTTTTGCAGTTTTCCAACAAAGAGAGCATCATACACAATTATATTTTGTACACATTAGATTAAATTTTCTTAGTTAATACGAATAAGGAATACAGACGATATTGTTACATCGGCCTAATGCTGTTTCATTTCTCCGTTATACACAATATTCTCTATATGTACTATTTCAACTTTGCGTAACAATAAATGTCAAATGACAAAACCATGATCTGTCTGTAGCTGTTCTGAGTTCCCCAATATAATCACAACATTTACCCCAAATAATATTACCACTTTATAAATTACACCGAACGAAATTGACCACAAAATTGTTCTAAAATTCATCCGCACAGGAAATATTCTAAATTTATTGTTAAAGTTGAGGCAGACTTAGCGGTGAAGAGACAAATTTTCAACGCATTTTCACATTTTTGTTCATCCTAAAGTTAAATGATAAAAATTGGATTAACGTCCATTTATGTATATAAAGATCCACACAAAGAGCCTGTGGTCTCGCTCGTATAAAATATAAACTCGCACTCTTCATCGTGTCTGCACCAACCCTAAGGTTCAAATTATTATTATCAGAATTAGTCGCCAATTTCGTTTAAATAGAAAATAGAGAATCTACAAAATAATTATACAAAAAAAAAATCAAGAAACATTATTGATTACATTAAATGTTCAAAACTTGGAACAACACACAGATAATATCATTTTAGTGCAAACCATACCAGAGATCTTAAGTGTTTAATGAACACTATCCAGTGATTCACGACTTTCTGCCACCAGCGCGGTGCCACTTAGGATTGAGGTGAAATATTATATTTAAAATAAAAATAAAAATGAATATAAAAGTTTTTATAGTGGGGAATTTCATTTATTAGAAAGTGGAGAAATTAATGTTTCCTTTTTTAAATATCAGTTATATTTCATATTAATTATATTAGAAATGCATAAACCTAACTACGAATATTCCTAAAAACAGAAGCATTAAAACAAGTTAATAATTTGTAAAAAATTAAATAATGCAGCACTGAGGCACTTTTTGTATATATACATACACTAAAAACCAAAACTTACAATTAAGTTCACCTTAGTCCCAACTAGCGACATCTGGTGAGCATACGATTATTAGCCACACGAAGCAAATTAGCCCTCATTAATTGAATATGCATATGATAAAATATGTAAAAGATTTTACAAAAGTATGAAATTTTCAGTCGATCAGTTGGAGCATCTCATGTAATTTAATTACATCTTTTACATGTTTACAATTTATAGTCTTCAGCTTTATAGAATAATTTTCAGTGTGCTTGATCTGTCACCAGAAATGTCTCTCTTCATTTGCACTGGGAAGTGGGAACCACTTATCCGTATACTTTATATCTACCTATTTTTATTTAGAATCGAAATCATTATATAAATATTAAACATTATTATAACATAATAAATTAATCATTGTTGTTAATATGCATATTGAATATGGAAAAAATCAGCATTTTATTGCAATGGCTATATTCTAATCGGTTTTTAGTTTAATCTGTAAAATGGAGTAAGGATGTAAATGGATAAAAATGGAAGATTTTTATATTATAGATAAAATATTATTGTTGCTTCTTATAACATTCATTCAATACATATAATAATAAACGATATATCTTAATATCTGAAGCTATTTGAAATTTAAACTATATTCATTCATCTTTTGTTTTGTTTGCCAAGTTGCTATTTTATTACCGCCAGGGACAGCTAGCTCTTGTTTTTGGCATCTATATTCATATTTTTATAGCTAATTAAATATAAACGTATATATAGTTATACGTGATTAACATAATGTGCAATACAAAATCATATTTTGTTTGCACACCATGTGCATTAAAACTAAATGCATCGTGAGACCCATTTGGGGACAACATCTAGCGAAAGAACGAATAATATTTACATCCATTTAGGAAAGAGTACACACATCAATAAATACAACGATTTTACAAAATTAAAAACAATATGGAGCTTAACTATCTAGAAACAACGCTGGAATCACTGCTTTAAGAATATGGCTTATGGAATATTTCTTACTTAGCATATTGAACACTGCCTCGCAACCATACACAGAATCTAAAGTACACCAACCATCTATTATATTCATCATCATTTTGTTTTTCCAAAACATGTCCATTTAGAAAAATCTAAATAACAATTATTATGTGTTTTATAACCCTCGAAAATGATCATACTGATAATTATTTAGTAACTATTAAATATAATTATAAAAGATAACAAAAACATTTCATATCAAGAAGACTCAGAAAATAGTACAGTTATAGGATTTTCGTATAAAGCACTTAAATAGACATAGTAAATATAAATTGTTAATGGCATATAAAACGCAGCTATAGTACAGACAAATAGCGACATATATGCGCCGTTATATTTAGAATATCCAGAACAAATAATAGATTAATCTCCAAAAGTATTACTTAAGTTTAGATCTATTGAGCTACCATCCTGATTCATTACTTAAATATATAAAATATTGATCGGTTTCGACCAGAGACAATAATCTGTTATATTTAGAATCTTTACAACATACTGCTTAAAGGTAATCTCATTAGCTTAAACTGCAAATACAGTATCACTCATGCCACCACATGCTCCAGTACTGAGACAAAATCTCGAGTTAGAACTCTAGCTCCACAGTATCAAAATTTGATTCTAGTCCATACCATGCTCCACAATACTTATATTGTGAAGTTTGAGCTTAAAGTCGAAAATGTCTCTGAATACTGGCCGAGGAACATTCTACTAATATGTACTACGCTACGCACTAGAACTGAGATCGCGAACACGATCTGTACCGCGTGAAAGAATGCACAAAGTACCTTCTTATAGCACAGACTAAGTTTATGCGCATGGGCTCTAACGCGTGTTGCAAACGACCAAGTCTCAGCTTCTCTTCCAGTACGTAGTACATATAATTCAATACCTGGGACTCGCATTATGTTATGTTAGGTTATTTTCAATTCAGATTCATACTGACGACTGCCTCTTGCCCTTGAGTTCCAGGTTCAGGTGATAGGGCATCTAACACGTGATAAATATTACCTTTGTTACACGTTACTTTATTTACAGTTATTTAATACGAAACGAGCGTAGAAATGAAAATGCATAGAAAACCGATCTAAATGGTCCCAACTTCAAGAATACGCTATAGAAAATTGCATACAAATTAATGAAAAGCTAGATGATGGGAGCAAAAGAAAAATGGTGGTTGAGGAACAAATAAATCAATAATTTTATTACAAGGTTATCTAAAGTAATTTGTATAATAACAAAATGTATCACTCTTTGAACTCTGTACAAACCACGAAGCACTATACTGTATGTATCAAACAACCCGGTGGTCCTTTTAGCGACCGATAGATAGATGTACATATGCATGGTATTTACGACAGTGAATTTTTTGGTCATTATTATAGGGATTTTAGTGTTCACAATATGTAACTAACAAAACACAATCTTTAAAAAAATTGTTATTCACATCTGAACTAACTGAGGTAATAAACCCACATACAATTTGCAAATAAAATGTATTTAATAGAATCAGGCGTTACTTCGCGGAAATACATTATATTGAAGTTGTTAGTACTTAATTTGATTATTTCCCCGTATTCATAACGCGGAAATAAGCAAATTAAGTTCCAACAACATCAATATAAATGTATTTAAATTTAATTTATTTTTTTAGAGTCCACTTTTCGGTACGTTTGAATACAGACTCTGATAACACATAACAGGAACCAAGGGAATTTTGTTACAGAAAATATAGTCCAAGGCCACAGTCAAATACAACTTTAAATTTAAAAATTCTTAGCTTTTTATCTCAAGGAACTTGATCGTTCTCTTTATTAATCTACAATCAAAAATCATATTACAATACACCAACAAATATCCAGCAGCTGTGAAATTTCTGCAGGAAGGTGATGAAAGTAATTACAAATTCAATTTGTAATTGTTTTTTCAGTTTGTATTAAAATAGAACACGAAAACCCTTTGTTCTAACGTAGATTGATAGACTGCATATTTCCTTAAAATATTTTTTGGTCGCAGAAATTTAGGTTTGCTTACAAATGCGGAGTACGTTGTAAATGAAGCACGTATATAGTGACGCAGTAAGTAAAAATTTATTCATTCTGTTTGCAATTATATTCAAAACTATAACGAATAATAAGGAATTCTTCTCCTAGATCTCGGAAAAATCATATAATATATATAATTTAAAAAAATAACATATACACATATTGTATAAAAGAGATTAACCGTGTAGTGGCGGTGTAAGAATATCCACTACCGCATATCGTCCTGTG